CCCTTTGGCACATCAGCGCAGGGGCGGCTATGCCGGCCCCACCCTGCTGCCTCGCGGTTGTTGGGTTTCCCAATGTAGGAATGAACCGAAAGCCATGCCAAAACCCCCACGGGGGTGTCCGACTCATCCTGTTTTGCCGGCAAATCCACTGGGAATAAAGCTGCCCGTCCTGCTGCCGGGAGGGCAGAGGTGCTGCGCACTTGGCAAGGTAAGGACGGATCCGGGCTCGGCACCTTCAGCTGCGAACTGGGAGGGACTGGGATGAGCTGGGATGAGGAGTAGCTCCCTTACTCCGACCATGGGGGCTGCAATCAAGTTTAAGGATGTGGAGCAGCCCGGGGTGCCAGCAGCAGCAGCTGGGGCTGGTGGGTGATGGAGATATCCCAGCGGGGAGCGGAGCTGGGAGATCCCGGGGGCTGGCAGAGGCGCTGCCAGGTGGATTCACCATGGCGGGACAGGGTTTAGCCTCCCCCGGGACCGGCAAGCCGCCAGACAACCCGTACAGGCTGCTCCAGGCAGTGCCCACCACAGCACACTGTTGAATGCCAGGACTTAGGAAGGACCTACGTGGATTATTTTTTTTGCTCTGTCCCCACATCTGAAGCAGTTTCCCAAGTTTGGCTCCCATCGCTGCACCCCTGCAGCTCAGCATCCCTCCTGGCAGGATGGGGACCGTGGCGCTGGCACTGTCCCTGCTGACCACCACTCTCCTGTGCCCGGCCACTGCCATGCTGCGCGTCGGCGCCTTCAACATCCAGGCGTTCGGAGACACCAAGATGTCCAACGAGGGAGTGGCGGGCATCATCATCAGCGTGAGTGCGGCCGGGGATGGGCTCTACGCTGGGGCAGACCCAAAATGTGGCTGGCGGGCCCGGGGCACCGGGGCGCGCGGGCGGGGCATCCCACTTCCAGGGATGCCGGGGGTGGATGAAGGCTTGGCGGGGACCAAGATGGGATGTCAGGCACACCCCGTGGTCCCTCTGAGCCCTCTGTGGGGACATCTGCCCTGGGGACGAGGGATGTGTGGGTCCCCGCGGGGCTGCACCCAGCACGGCCTGGAGATGGGTGGGAGAGGAGAGGGTGGTCCTGAGCCAGCAGCTCCCTCTCGCCTTCACTGTCCCTCTTGGCCCCGCAGATCCTGCGCCGCTATGACGTGGTGCTGGTGCAGGAGGTGCGCGACTCCGACCTCAGCGCCGTCACCGAGCTCATGGAGCAGCTCAACAGGTAGTGTGGGGCCAGGGCTGAGAGCACCTGGGCTGAGACGCCGGCGTTAGCACGGAAAGCCAAGCTGCCTGAGCAACAGAAGGCCAGAAAAGGTCGTCCATCAGCAGAGGGTTTGCTTTTGGAGAGGGGAATAGGGGAAAAGTGCTGGGGCTGAAGCTTTGAGCAGGCACTGAACAAGCCACGGGGAATGACCTGGGGAGGGGAAGGGGGATACAGTGGCACAAAACCCCCCCGAAAGCCACAGTCCCACCCGAGCACACAGGATGGAAAGAACTACAGCTCTGGCCAGCTCCATCTCCAAAACCCAACAGGACGGGGCAGAGGTGAGACAGGGGATGACAGGGGTAGGGGCAGGCAGCCCCCTGCACCCAAGACCCTGTTAGTGGCAAGGGGACCCCGGGACGGACCCAGCAGCAGATGATGCCCTGAAGCAAGCGGCTCAGGCACCCCAGGAGGAAAAGGGGCTGCTGGGTGGGCTAAAACTGGCGCCAGCTGGGTGCTGACCCCATTTTGGGTGAGGGCAGGGGCTGGGCTGGAGCCTGGCGGACGCTGCTGCCGCCCTGTTGAAAGGCAGCGAGTGCTCCTGAGCGGGTACACCCAGCCCGCGTCCTCGCCCCTGCGGCGGCCCCTCCAGCAC